GGAATTCTGCAACCCATGCCCTCCTTCCTCGAGGCTGGCCTCATCCTCCAGCAGATCCTCGTGCGATGGCCCTCTAGCCCCCGCATCCTCAGAGCCCGGCACTGGCATCCTCAGGGGGAAGAAGCCTCCTCTTTCCCTACGGTTCCAACAACGCTGAGAAGTGAGTCCCTTCCATCCCGCTGGCCTGCTGGGAGCCCCGGACCAGCCCTGCGGTTGGGAGCTTGTGTCTCTGTTCTCCTCAGTGGGCTTTCTCACAAGCCCTCACCGCCGCTGCATTTCGGAACAAACCACAGGACTGAGCGTGAGAGGAGTGATTCCCTAAGAAGACGTGGGGTGTGCACTGAGAAGGGAAGGTGCAGGGCCAGGAAAAAGGACCATTTCTCCAGTAACACCTTTCCTATCAACACAGGCTTCATGTCCAACCTCTGGTGACAGTACACATGGCTCCACCGGTGGATGACCACCGTTTATCAACCCACCACCTAGGACACACGCTGAGGTAACTTCCAGCTGTTGCTGTTAGCAACCATGCGGGAAAGGAAATCCTAACACAACATCTGTGCCCGCATCCTTCACCTCTTCTTAATTCTCCCGAATCACGGTGAAACAGTTACTGATCTTTATGAACTAGATGATTTGGGGAGTCTGGGCAAAAGTGCGGGAGAAGCCCCACTTTTCTGCCAACTGTTCTAAGCTCTTCTCTCCTCAGCTCTTGGAACCCAGGCTTCTGGTTATAAAGGGCTCCCAGAGAGACCGACACCCAGATCTCCCATCCCCACCCCGAGGCTGGTCCCAGACAACGAAGTAACTTCTTCCTTTCCAAACAAAACTCTCACTTTAAAACAGGCGGGTCTCGCTTCGGAGGAAAGCAAGGTAAGCATCTGGAAAAAGTAAAACCCCAACCACGGAGCAGCTGAACTTGCTGAAGTGTGGGATGAGTTTGAGGGAGATGTTCTTGAGTGGGGAGGCAAGTTTGTCTGGCTCTCATTTTCTTCAGGCTTATCCTCCCTCACCCCGCAACCCCGCAGGTGATCGGAAACTCGCCCCCTTCCGAAAGGTGGCCTCCCCTTTCCTGCACTTTGACCCTTGTGCAAATGTGGTTGCCACTGCTGGGAGAGGGCCACAGAGACCATGGCAAAGCTGGGCATGAGCTAGAATCCTATTCCAACTGTAATTTTGCAAATGACTGGTAAAGCTGATAAATGTTTGAAACTTTCTTGGCCTGAGGCAGGATACGTCAATAAATGATTGTGAGGTGCATAGAACACTTCACCCCCTCACTTCTAAGGTGGGCAATTCTGACATGGAAACAGGCATTAGAATATAACACCTAGAAGAAGGTGAGTCAGCCTCTAACCCTGTCACTCCCACTAACAGATGATAGTAAAAAAAAAAAAAAGGCCATTACCCTTTTCTATGAAATATTAGATAACAACATTCACTCAATCCACCCTACCAGGTTGCTAGGCCAATTGTATGAGCTAATGTCTGGGAATATACCAAGTACTATACAAACACAGAGATATTTGTTGTTGTCAAAGTCCTTTCAGGAAGAAAAATACTTTTATGAGCTCATAGAAATGTAGTAGAATTGAGCACTAATAAACCTATTTGTCTAATATAATCAGAGGCAAAACTATAGAATTTTACCTTTTCTTCCAAGAAAGGCCTATAATCAAAATATTCATATCCTGTTCTCAGTGACAAGTTCAACTGCCAATAGATGAGTTCAGAATCCAAAGCGTACGTTCAAACGTATTCCTAACCCTGTGACGTGTCTGGATTGCTCCATTTAGCCTCAGGAAATCAGAGAGAAATATTTATGTGTTAAAAGCACTTTCTCAAGAAAAATTCCAGGGTGCTCGAAGTTTTCTGACCTTTCAGAGGAAAAGCTAGGATACATATTCCACTCATTTCTTTAGCAGGTCTTTAAGGACCTCCTTTGATTCAGGTACCAGATTAGGTGCTGGGAGACGCAGTCCTTACCCTCAAGTAGCCTCTGGTCTGATGGAAGAAGTAAGTGAACAAATACAGTTTAGTCTAAGTGCTTAGTTAAAGCAGACGCACCCTGGTTAGTACACTCCCTCTGCTTGGCTGTGGTGGTGCCTGAGTGTGGGCACAGGGCCCTGGACCCCCGGGCCCCTATCACCGGCTCAGAGGACTTTTTGCCTCGTGTGGTTATAAAGAGACACGTCTCCATCTCCTTCAAGACAGAGGAAAACCACCTTGTGAATATCTGTGTGACCAGAGTATGATTGGCAGGGTCACTGCACTCAAGCCATTTCTAGTGTTATGACTTCAGTTTTCACAGTCTGGGTAAGGGAGTGGGGAAAAGTGGTTCTTGGATTTCATACAGTTTTTTGAAGGAGTCAAAGACTCTTCAGATCAACTCCATGTGAAGCCTGCACTGAGCCAAGCCGCTCCCCCAGCTCTGCCTGTCCCCTCATCCTGACCTGCAGGCTCCCTGCCGGGCCCCGCCAAGGCTGCCTGGGAATTACAGCTGGTGCTACCAGCACGCTGGTTCCTGGGAGATGAGACCAGACTCTTTTTACCTTGCTTGTTAAGCCAGAGCTTCACGTTTTATTGCTAATGTAATTATTTGTTTAGTTGTTTGCTGCTCTAGGGGAATATCTAGTACCCAGGGTACAGCTGGCCTGTAAGGCACTGTCATGTGAATCCCCAAAAAAGCCCCCTTTGCACAGGTCATTTAAAAAGGCATCCCCTCTAGTCGGATGGGGCGCCCAGGAAAAGGGCCTGGTGGCGTGGGCTCTGGTGGACTTCAGCCCCATCCACCCCTCCGCGGCTTTGTGCAGCGTACAAACCGCACTAGAGGGTGGCAGCCGGTGTAAGTTCTGCATTCTAAGCATTTTGTTTTGGCTCTAGAGAGTACGATACCTTCTGTTTTAAAACGATGCTCATGTATGTCAACTATATTTCAATTTAAAATATGCTGAATGCTTAAAGGATCTCTTTACTATGGGATTATCATTTTCTTTGCTATACTTTTCTTTATAAAAATGCCAAAAGAAGTATTATTAATAATGTATTTTTAAAACTTATGAAAGTAGAACTTACCTTGCAAATCCTAATATCAATTTTGCTTTCATGTTCTGCTTTTCCCCTGTGGTTTGCACACCTAGGTTTTAAAGGAGAAGTGTTAACACTTTTGTATTTTATTTTTCTTCCTATTCCTGCCCCCTCCCAATAAAATTCTTGGGACAGGGAATCAGCTTTACACCATCAAGCCAAGATTTTTTTTTTTTTTGCGGTACGCGGGCCTCTCACTGCTGTGGCCTCTCCCATTGCGGAGCACAGGCTCCGGATGCGCAGGCCCAGCAGCCATGGCTCACGGGCCCAGCCGCTCTGCGGCATGTGGGATCTTCCCGGACCGGGGCACGAACCCGTGTCCCCTGCATCAGCAGGCGGACTCTCAACCACTGCGCCACCAGGGAAGCCCCAAGCCAAGATTTTAAAGCAGCGTCCTAGGATGCCTCCTTTACTCCACAACTGCAATATTTTAAAAGAAGAGACCAAGTTTTCATAGAGCCAGCCTAGGGAAATATTCCCACGTGGTTCTTCTGGTGGGGTGTGCCCTGTGTGGGGGGGGGCTGGTAGGGTGGAGGTGGGAGAAACGGTCACACAGAAGGAACTCGAACAGGCACTACTGTTACCAGCCAAGTGATCCCCAAATCCCAAGTGTCTGTTACATTAGGGAATAGCTGCGGTGTACCCAAAGTGTTCCTGAGGGCTGAGCCTTTGTTAATTGGATGCTTCATAATTCCTGGAGAACTTCACCAGTGGGCCACGAAACTGAAAGCTAAACCGGCAAGTTGCAGAACAGACGAGGCTAAGAAGCCAGTTCCTCAGGGGCGATGACGGGCTGCTCCGTCAGGGTGAGAGGAGCTCCTGTTAGCCCCTCACTGCGGGTGGAGGGTGGGAATATGTGAAATTTAGGTGCAGGGCGGTCAGGCGGGGCCTGACCTCCCGGGACGGGCTGGCTGTACAACAGGCCTTGAATAAGCTTTTGTTGAGTGAATGCAGGAGCGGGGGCAGCATTCAGAGGCCTTGGCTGTGACAGTTCCCCCGCCCTGGCTCTCCGTTTAGGGGAGAAACGCTTTTAGGGAGCGGAGGGCAGCTGGGGTGGGGTCAGGGAGGGCTGGAAAGAACCAGGGGCAGCTCTGAAGGCCGGGGCTCCTGCCTACCTCATACGACGACTGCGACGGAACGTGGAAGCCTGCTCCCCAGAGGACGTTGCAGATACACAGAAACACAGGTTTAGATGCATTCAGTGAACGACTCCTCCTCGCCAGGGGGAAGGGAAACGTTTAAAGAGTGCGGCGCTTTTTCACCCCTGGCAAGGACACCCTGGAGTTTTTGGCAGTCTGGGAGACGGCGGTGGGATTCAGGAGCTGCCTGGGAAGGGCGGGCGGGGGCCGCCACGACATTCCCAGACTGTCTCGGACCCCCGACTCAGGATCTCACCCCGGGAAGCGCTCGGAGGAGACCCAAGTGGGGGGATGGGGGGGTCAGGGCTGCAGCCGAGGGCGCCCAGGGGTCCGAGGGGCGGGGGTCTGTAAAAGAGAGCAGCCGCCCGGAGAAGGGGCGAGAGCTTGTCTTCAGGGGAGCCAGGAGTCTAAGCCGGGGCGAGCCTGACTCTACGCAGAGTCGGTACCAGGAAGGAGCTGGTCTTCTTGGGGAAAAGGTGCAAAAAAAAGTGCAAACGGTGGCGGGGTGCGGCGGGCGGAGCAGGGCGTCCCGCGCGCGGACACCCACTGAACCCCGGCTGCTCGGGCGGGCGCGGGTTGTTGCCGCGGGACACCCCCCTCATCCCCGCCCCCTAGGACGGGCCGGGCGCCCGCGCTGCCTCTCCCCCGCGCCCCCTCCCCTCCGCCCGCTCTGCCTCTCCCCCGCGCCCCTCCCCCGCCGGGCAGCCGAGCCCAGACGCGAGCGCGGGGCGCAGGGCGCGGGGCGCTGGGCGCTGGGCGCGGGGCGGGCGGGCCATGGCGCGGGCGCGAGCGGCAGGCTCGCGGGGCCGGCCCGGGTGGTGCGGGCGGGGCGCGCTGCTGGTCTGCGTCGCGTGGACCGCGGGTTGGGTGCTGGCGGCCGCGCTGCTGCTCCGCGCGCACCCGGGCGTCCTCTCCGAGCGCTGCACCGACGAGAAGAGCCGGCGCATCCTGGCCGCGCTGGTAGGTGTCGCCGCCGCCGCACTGCCCCGCGCCGCGCGCCCCGGGGGCAGGGCTGGGACACCCTCCGCGGGCCCCGGGAGCCGGGGACTTGGGCACGGCCGTGGACCGAGGGGAGGGGACCCGGACACGGTGCGTGGGATGCGGTCTCCATCCCGGGAGTCCTCTGTGCGCGGGCGGGGATGTCTCCCCCCGTTTCGCCCAAATTGGTCCTTTGTCCCAAGAGAGTCTTCCTGCCCGACTGCTCTCCCGCCGCCCCCAGCCCGCGCTCCTAAAGCAAGTGTTCGGGTCTGTTCCCAGTCTCCCGACTCGGACAGCGGGGCTCGGGGCGCGGGCCGCTGAGGGCTCGGGTCGGGGAGCCCACGCCCCTGCCCCTGGACTCGCCGTTCGGTCGCTCAGCCGCTGTTCGGCGAGTCCAGCCTGGGCTGCACCTCGCCGAGCCCCATGCAGACGGCTCGTAGGGCCCGGCCCCCGCCTCGCTGCGCCCCAGAGCCGCTGCTCTCCCCGGCGCGGTCTGCGGGACCCAAGACAGAGCGCGTTCAGGCGAGCGGAGCGCGAGGGAGGCGGTCGGACCCTGGGGTCCGAGCGGGGTCTCCGGACAGGGGAGGGCCTGGGGGCTCCATAGCTGAGCCTGGCAATTAGGGAGAGAAAGAAACACCTGGGCTTGCAGGCTGCTGCTGCGCGCTCTGGGCCCCAGAGGCGCATTAGTTGATTCCGAACGCCGGCTGCTCTTTGGTCTCTCTGTTTGGTTCGGAAGATGAGGCGCATTAGGAGACTTGGATAAAGGCAGGAATCCCTAAAAGGAAGGCCAAGGTGAAGGTAACGGCAACTATTGTTACATTGATTGAGTGATTACTCACTTCCTAAAATACTGACCATCTCAGTATTTGGTGTGAAAAATGATCTATTTTCTAAGAGATCTTCAAGAAACTCATGGGAAGTTTTCAGTCCAATTGCTTACATCTGGGTGAGCCTTCTGAGATTGTAGGTTTTCAAAACGTGGTAGCATAAAGGCTTTCAAGTAAATGATTTTTTTAAAAAGTGAGCTTGGAAAAACTAAAGGAATGAGGTGAAATGGACAAGCTAGACCAAATCATTTTCCCTAATTGAGTCTGACGTGTCCTCATGAATTGATCATAACGTTGGTGAGATACTCATCGATTCCCTCCATCCTATCTATCAATAATCTATCCATTTATCTGTTCATTGTTACACTGACGTTCTATCAAGTTTTCTTTAAGTTACAAGAGCTCATTGATTTTCCTCAATAACTCCTCTAAAAATTCCTTTCACTGATAAAGATTTTTTTCCCTCTGTTTTGGGGAGACTGATTGACTAATTATAGTATAAAATGAATAGCTTGGCCAGGATGACTACCCATGTACCAAAAATAATATAATAGTCTTTTAGATTAAAATAAAAAACAAACACTGTTTTTTCATTTCTTTACCGTTGGTTAAGTGAGAGAAAGCCTAATGGAAATTAAATAGCCTAGTATAACTTAAGTCATTGCTCATCATAACTTTCCCAGCATTCCAGCTCATAAATTAAAACCAATTCTGTTTGGAGGCTGAACCCACATATCTCCTGTGGCAGCCAATCTTTTCTGTTGCCAAAAGAACAATCTGAAATACCATGTCTGTCTGTCTGCCTGAGGTTCACCTGACCCGTTCTCGATGACCTGCTTTTGGGGGGAGCGTCATTTGGAGGCCCCCTTTGAGGCCGCCATTTCTCACGCTCTGCTCAGGACCTGACTTTCCCTTTCTACCCTCTCCATTCTGGATTTGCTGGCGGGAACCCCACCCAGCACCGTGGCTCCCTTTCACCCAGGACACTGTGAACTAGACTGAGGTTTGAATAGGACCCCAGTCTCCGCATCCTAGACTCTGCCGGGCCCTGGCGGCCACGCAGAGGCTGGCATTGTGGCACTGTGGCCTCCCAGGACTGAATCGAGCCTCTGTCTCTCAGCTCCGCCGGTCCTTTCAATTCATTCTCCCTGGCTTTTATCCTTAATAATAAAACTGGCTGTTATTTTTCTGACTGGCCTCCAGACTCTCATTAGCTTTCACTCTGAATCCCAGAGCACCAAAGGAACAGCCGCAGCTGAGCCAGAGGGAACCCCTTTCCCTTGGGCAAAGTCAAGGGAGCTGTGAACCTCTGAGCACGTTCCCGGGCCCTCACGCCAGGCAGGTGGAGAACCTGAGGATGAAGCTGAGGGGCTGGTTAGGAGCGGGGAGTCATGGGCGCTGGGGCCCCCCCGAGCCTCACCCCACCTCTGGAGGGGGCCCCGCACACTCCAGTCTCAAGAGAGAGTGTTGGAAGAGCCAACTGGATTGGTTCCAGAGTCGAGCCCAGGTCTTCCAGCTTCAGAATTTTCTGGGCAGACGGCAGCCCCCCTTTTTCCTGCGGCTTTTCAGCTCATTCCGTAATCAAGACATCTCTGTGAGGTTTCCAGAGCCCCACTTTCCCAGGGAACCGTGTCAGCAGGCTGTGCCAGGCTGACTAGCGTTGGGTCTGACCGTTCACAGGCCCTGCTTCCGGTTCTGCAGGCAGAGCGCCTCCCAGGGCGGCGGGGACGTATGCTGCGGGTGCCCGCTGAGGCTCACTCGGGGCAGGCTCTGTGCTAAGTAGTTTTACACGTATTAATTCATTTAATCTCAGCCTCTGCGGGGTACGTACTTTTACTCCTCCCATTTCACAGATGGCGAAACTGAGCCCCAGAGAGGTGAAGTAACTTGTCCCGATTCACACAGTTACTGTGTCGTGGAGCCAGGATGTGCCTCTGATAGTAGAGACCCCGTGACAGAACTGGCTCCTCCAATACTGAAAACCATAAGTAACTAACAACTGGGCATACTTAACCCTTCTATAGCACATCACTTTCAAAGCATCTCAAAAAGATTCCCACAGACTCTCTGTTATTCAGAAGGTTTAAGTCCCTTCCGGCTGGTTAGGTCTTGATGTGACTTAACTTGGTTGCCTACATCTGGGATTTCTTTTTAACAGGGCAGGCTTATCTTTCTTTGCTCTGATAGAAACCCAAGGTCCCAGTGGGACTACAGCATCCAGGGCACATACCCAGAGAGATTTTATAGCAGGGAATGAGTGCTTTGGCCACGTATGTGATGTCTATCTTCTAAGCTGTCCAGGGGTCGAGGAGGCTTGCAGAGTGGCCTGGCTAATTGCTCTGAGGTTCTGCAACGCACAGCGTGACTGCTCCATGAAGGAATTCCACCGTGAGATATAAGGGCTGCTAACCGCATAGGAACTTAATTCTCCTTAAAAACAAAAACAAACACACAAAAGAAAACCCAGCCCTTGGGCATGACCTCTGAGACCCTGTCACCGGTTTCCCAGACTAGAGAGGACAGGTTTTGTTTTTGCCTGAGAACCGAGATACAAGCCAGAGAGGGAGCTTCTAAGTAACCACCACTGAGAACACTTTCTGCAAGAACTGGGGCTGCTGGGAGTGTGCGTTTGCACACAACCTATAAGAAATATGAATTCGCTGTGAGTTTCATTAATTTTTTAAAAATGCCAGTTAACTATAATGAGACTTTATTAACTTGGTTTTTTTCCCAGCTTATCTTAAAATCTGATACCTGTGGATTTTGTATGCACACACATTTGGGTACAGAAATGTACCTGTTCAAGATGGCAGTCAGGGCCTCCTCATATCCAGAGGAAAGTGATTTTTTTTAAAATGGAGTTAAAAGTACATTACTTCTATTGAGTTTAAAAAAATTAGCTACCTCAATAGGACATGCTGCTAATAAGATAATTTCACTCTTGTCTCTAACACGATGACACTGCTTAACTAGCTTGTAAACTTGTAATCTGTAAATTTACTGGTTTTTAAAAGCCGAGCTAAGTCTTTCTCTGAGTTTAGCAAGCACAGGCATGCAAAAAGATCCTACAGAACTCACTGGAACTCTGGTAACCAGAAGAGCCACAGTGGATGAATTTTACATTCTGTATCAGAAGAGCAGGGACTGATGTGCCAAAAAGGCTTCATCACAAAGGGTGACGACAAAGAGCAGCTCTGCACTAACTACCCCTGCGATCTCCCGTGACAAACGAGGTAGCCGGGGCACGGAAAGTTAGGTCAGAAACCTAGGACAACACCTCCAGTAGCTGGTGGCCCGGCAGGGCTCTGGGCGCCCAGCGCCACTGCCCACCCTTCCTGATCGGCAGCTTCCCTGCAAGCTGCCAGCCATCTGGAGGTATGCCTATACCTCAACATGCTGACCTTCAGAAAAAAACAGCCAAAGGTAACGTTCCCCTCCAAAATCAGCAGACTATATGCCAAATGTCCTTGCAACCCGTTTGGAACTGCCTTCTAAATTTGCAGGGGCAAATCTCGTATGGGTTCAATTTGAATTCGACTTCATCGACGCGGTACAGTTTCGTAGAAAACACCATGCTGTGGGGAGCCAGCGGGGGCCGGGGATGGTACGGAGGCTCACGGGGATTATTTAATGGAACCTGGGGCCGAGGAGACAAGAATTCCCACTGGCAGGTGGGGCGGCCTCCCAGGGAAGGTGGGTCCGACCCTTGCAGGGGGCAGCATTCTGTCAGGTGGAGACAGAGCAAGTGGCGTTTCTGGCAGGACGCCCAGTCCCTGACGCACGGCACTTGCTCTAACCCTGCCCGTGCTCCCCTGAACTGTCCGGTTCTCTGAACACTCGAGCGACTGCCCATCTGTGGGTTCCTCGGCAGGTCATTCCCTGCTCTCTCCCTCCTGGTCCGCTAGGCAGACTCGCAATTCATCTTTCAAAACTGAGCTCGAGTGTATCTCTCCAGAAAGAAGCCTCCCCAGCCCCCTGCCTTCTAATGACCAGGGCTGGAGGGAACTAGAATTCAGAGACCACCAGGTCCTCCGCACCCATGACCTTGGTTGACCTTTACAGGTCTCCCACGACACAGTGTCATCATCCCATGTTACAGCCTTGGAAACAAGCCACAGGCCAGCAAGAGGCTGAGCCCAGAGGCAAACCCAGCTGGCCCCAAAGCCAAGCCTGGCCATGTGCCTTTCTTGCTTACACTCCACTGTCACTTGAGGAGTCTGAAAGGCAGCCACCTCGTTCTGTGATGCCTGAGCCTGAGCCCGGCACCTGTAGCCGGATCGTGGCTCAGCTCACACACAGCACTGTTAGCTGGAAGGTGGCTGGGTGCGCCCGAGGCAGCTTGCCCATGGCCACTCCCCACCCCCGGGGTGTGGAGCGGGCTTCTGGGCCCACAGGTGTCTCTCATGGCCAGTGACAATTTCGGCCGCAGTTCTAGATGAGGAGAGTGAAGGCCCTGGGCAGTCACAGCTGACACCCTCGGCACTCCCCGCTCTCCGGCAGTGGCCCAGCCAGGGCCCACACCCCTATCTCGCCCTCCCCATGCCTCTCCCCTCGGCCCAGCACAGCAGGATTCTGAAGCTCGCAGCTCAGGATCCATCTCCTCCTACCAAACTCGATTGTATCATCTGCTTTTCTTTCTTTTCCAGTTCTGTTCTGTCCTTCATACAAAAACACCTTTGATTAAACTACAAATTTGATGACACTCTAAAAAGGATTATGGAATTGAATTAAACCATTTTGGATATACTCAAAGGGCTTAGGGGCTTCATAAGGCAATCAAGAAATAAATGTTGGGCTTCCCTGGTGGCGCAGTGGTTAAGAATCCGCCTGCCAGTGCAGGGGACACGGGTTCGAGCCCTGGTCCGGGAAGATCCCACATGCTGCGGAGCAACTAAGCCCGTGCGCCACAACTACTGAGCCTGCGCTCTAAAGCCCGCGAGCCACAGCTACTGAGCCCGCGCGGCCACAGCCAGTGCTGCAACAAGAGAAGCCACCGCAATGAGAAGCCCGCGCACTGCCACGAGGAGTAGCCACCATTCGCCGCAACTAGAGAAAGCCCACGTGCAGCAACAAAGACCCAACACAGCCAAAAATAAATTTATAAAAAAAAAGAAAAAGAAATGTTGCCTTTTCTTGTCAGGCTTGTTACAGAGATGTGAAACTCTGTAAATACCAGATAAAATAGAACAGAGCTGCAGCAGGTAAAATGAACAGCCCACATTACTTCCGTCACTCACACCTTTTTTACTCTTGGGAGTCTCAATCATTTAAACCTTGCATTCCCACCTTACCTCTAAGATTACCCTGAAAGGTCTCAGAGGAACCAGAATCAGCTGATGCTTTCTTCCGAGGCACCGTGATATGGAAGCAATTCCAAGCAGAGAGAGTCACTCAGAGGGTCCTGATCCTTTGATGCTCCTCTTATGACCCCACGCCTTGGAAAGAGGTACCGGGATGAAAAGTAAAAGGATGGCATTTGACCAAACTGGTGTTCAGTTAAATTGCAAGATGTACACAGCATCAAGTGTATTTAAAACAGTTTCATGGGTGTTTATTAATACAGCTGCATTATGGTTGTCTATTTTCCAAAGACAAAAAGCGAGCCCCAGGCAAACAGGGTGCACTCCCAGACTCCAGGATCGGGACCATCACGTGCATCTTTGGGTTTGGCAAGCGTGACATCCCCACCGCCCAACACGGTGCGGCGCCGAGATCTAACGCGGCAAAGGAGAAGCAGCTTGTGGGAGCCCCTCAGCAGGAAGCTGGGGGGGTCAGGTCTGATGGCTTGTCTTGGTCCTTTGGGGCTGTTGTCCAGTAACTGCCTGAAACGGTCCCTGAAATCCAGATACTTGTTTTAAGAACAGGGAGTATATCTTTTTTTTTTTTTTTTTTTTTTTTTGCGGTACACCGGCCTCTCACTGTTGTGGCCTCTCCTGTTGCGGAGCACAGGCTTCGGACGCGCAGGCTCAGCGGCCATGGCTCACGGGCCCAGCCGCTCCACGGCATGTGGGATCTTCCCGGACCGGGGCACGAACCCGTGTCCCCTGCATCGGCAGGTGGACTCTCAACCACTGCGCCACCAGGGAAGCCCAGTATATCTTTTTAATGAGCGTTTTGGTTATATGCTTTCAACAAGCCACTGAGAGTATTTATAAAGATCCACCATCCCTTATCCAGTGCTCTGCGGCCAGGCCTGTGTTAGAATTCACACTGTTTTGGGTGTTATATAATATGCAGCATATATATACCTTCTATTTTGCATATGAGGCAGCACCCGTAATCAGACAAATCCAGCTGATGAATAACTCTGCAACGAAGTATATGCAAAGTCACAGGTCAAATACACTCAGACCATAAATAGGCTCTCATCTTTTCAGTCGGATGTGACACTCCATGAGGGCGAACGAGTCATGGAAAAACTTGTAGTTTTCAGAGCTTTTTGGATTTGGGGATTATTCACATATCCAAGCATTGGAGGTGTATTTTCTGACTTGAAGGAGCTGTACATAACCTCCTTGGAGTTACTAAAGCCGAGCAGCACAGAACCACCAGAGAGTCTGGCCAGCGTATAATTACATACCTGACCTGCCTCTGCCCACGTGGGAGGAAGATGCGTCTGGGGGGAAACAGGTGGAGTCAGGAAATAGGCTCAACCCCTAATAAACGTGGGTCCAGAGGTTTAGGTTTCCTGAAAGAGATAAAAAAGAAAGAGAACAGAATAATAATCCTCCCTTTCAATCGGTTTCACACTGGCATCTCCTGCTCCCCCTCTAGCAGGTCTGAAGGGCAGGGCCTGGCTGGACTGTATTCTTAGCACGGATGCTTGCAGTGTCGTGGTGGGGTCACCAGGTCCCCCGTGTGGCAGGAGGGCCTAAGAGCCTGACGTTTAGGAGAAGTTCCCCATTTCAGGGTCCCTGAGTGCCTTCCTCGCCACCCCCAGGAACCAAACACCCCCCGCTTCTGGGATTTACCCTGCAGGGCTCCTCTTCTGCAGGCGCCCAGTGCCTGCCCTGCCAGCCACGAGGCCTCTCCTGCCTCCTGTTTCCTGCAGTGGGCTCTCCAGACCCCGCAGTCCCCCAGAGCCTGCTGGCCTTATAGCCATACCACTTCCCGGCGACCACATGGGTGCAAGGAGAGGTTCTAGAGGAAGGACCATTCCTGGGGTCGCCAGGGACCCACCTCCCGAGGTCTGGCTGACCTGTACTTGACCGGGGGTTGAAAGCTCTCTGGGTGACCCTGACGTGAGGCCAAGAGTTGGGAACCACGGGCCTGGCCCAGCCCTTTCGCTGACAGTCAAGGAAACTGAACGCAGCTGCCAAAGGCCTTTGCCAGCATCACCCACCTCAGCTGGAAGTGGGGGAGGGCAGAGACCTGCTTCCTAAGACCTGGGCCTGGGCCTGATGGAGAACAAACTTGAGGCACTCTTTCAAGTCTTTTTTTTTTTTTTAACTTAAATGTATTTATTTATTTTGGCTGCGTTGGGTCTTCACTGCTGCACATGGGCTTTCTCTAGTTGCAGCAAGCGGGCTCAGTAGTTGTGGCACACAGGCTTCAGTAGTTGTGGCTCACGGGCTTCAGTAGTTGTGGCTCGCGGACTCTAGAGTGCAGGCTTGGTAGTTGTGGCGCACGGGCTTAGTTGCTCCGCGGCATGTGGGATCTTCCCGGACCAGGGCTCGAACCCGTGTCCCCTGCGTTGGCAGGCGGACGCTTAAGCACTGCGCCAGCAGGGAAGCTCTCAAACCTTTGACTTCATAATTCCTCTCTGACCCGAGTAGCCTCGTGGTTCACTCTGGTGAAGATGGTCTGCACAGCTGTTAGGAGCGTGCTGGGTGCGGGGACCAGCCTTGTGTCTATTCGCTGCCCCTCCGCGGTGTAACCGACTGTCCCCTTCCTTCCAGTGCCAGGACTACCGGGGCGGCGCGCTCGGCGGAGACCTGTGCGAGGACCTGTGCGTGGCAGGGCAGCTACGGTACCGGCGCTGCCTGTACTACGAGCGGGGCAAGAAGGTGCTGCAGGCTGACTGGCGCGGCCGGCCTGTGGTCCTCAAGTCCAAGGAGGAAGCCTTCTCCAGCTTCCCGCCGCTCGGCCTCCTGGAAGGCCAGCCCGAGGCCGGCGGCCAGGGCTTCCCGGAGGCAGAGCTCCTCCTGCTGGCGGCCGGGGAGGTCAAGAGCGCGCTGGGCCTGGAGCTGGCCGAGGGCGGCCTGGGGCGGCTGGGCCTGGGGCGGCGGGGGCCCCGGCTGCGGGGTCAGCTGGCCAGCCTGTGGGCGCTGCTGCAGCAGGAGGAGTTCGTCCTGCTCAGCCTGCTGCGGGGCCGCAGCCCGCACGCGCCGCCCGTGCTGGGCTCCTGCGGCCACTTCTACGCCGTGGAGCACCTGGCCGCGGGCAGCCCCCGCCTCCGGGCCCTCTTCCCCCTGGACGGCGCGGCCCGCGGCGGCCGGGCCCAGGCGCGCGCGCTCAGCGGCGTGGCGCTCAGCTTCCTGGACATGGTCCGCCACTTCGAGCACGACTTCTCGCACCGCCTGCACCTCTGCGACGTGAAGCCCGAGAACTTTGCCATCAGGAGCGACTTCACGGTGAGTGGCTGCGGCGTGTGTTTCGCCCGTGGAGGGCAGACTTGGGTCTGGGTGGTCCTAAACGAGGGGGTTTCTGAAATCGGGGGAGACCCTGCAGCGTTATGCAACCTTCTAGCCAGGACAACTCCGACCTGCCAAACCTTCCGAGTGGGAATGAGAGAATTTAAAGAACAGAGGCGCCTGCGCGGTGCCGAACTGGGAGGACGGCCGCTCGCAGCGGGAGGCGTGGTCTGTCGTCCTTAAGGCTGCTCTGTTTTCTCCAAAGCGACTTCGCGTCTTCTTAGGGCTATTTTGAAAGCAAGCAAATTGTGCAGAAAACAGTCTTCAGGAGACAAGGAGCCTCGGAGGATGAGGAGAGAGGACGGCCTTTGGGGGCCTTTGTACAAAGGCTCCGTAGGGGGACACTGTTTTCAAGGTGTCCATGCTCTAGGATGATGGGCAACTTTTTCTAATACTTTCCTCTGGAGACGTTCTAGTTTCCCTTCTGTGGGTGAGACTTCTAGAGGGACAACTGGCGTTTTGGTGCCTCACACAAGGGAGAATCCTGCCCGGGTGGACACGTCAGCCTCTGCAGGCTCTGCAGGCTCTGCAGAAGGCAGGTGCATGTTATGTCCCATTCCAGGCAGTGCAGGCCTACAAAGAAGGGACCGAGGTGGAGAAGCAGCAGCAGGAGGCCCGGGGCTCCGGGGTGGGATGCGGCCCTCTGTGTTTTAAAAGCAAGCCCTCCAGGTGATTCTGATGCACACTCAGTGTGAGAACTAGCGAACCGGCGGACCAGCAGGAGGGTTCCCCCTTTGGTCCGTGTTGCAGAGGGGAAGGAGCGCTGTCCTTCAGGTAACGTGTTAAGAATGGATGACTCGCAGTCATTCACTTTCTCGGGTCCCCCTTGCAGGTCTTGAGAATCTGTCCAGCGGTTGCAAAAGAACTAGGAAAACATCTTTACTTCTTGCTCCCAGACTGTTGCCAGAAAGTGCTCTCTCCTGCTCTAGAGGCACACTTTTCAGTGGAGAACAAAATAATCCTCGTCAATCCGTTCTAGTCTGATGCTAGGACGATGTCTGAAGATGATGCAAGTTAGGTAATTTTGTGCAGGAAGAATTTTAGGATTCTCCTGATGTTATCTAAGAAACCTCAGGCAGGTTTTTCTGTTCATTTTGTTACTGTTCTTATTTTAGGTGCATAGAGTTATGCTTCCAGGAGCTGTAATCCATTCTACAGCACACACTAAAATTAAAAAATAAACCTGGCTCTTCCTGGGAGATGAACAGGGAACAATCAGAGCCAGAAGACAGAAGTAACAGGGAGCTGAAATTCCACCGGGGCCCAGGGGAAGCTGGGGAGATGGCCAGGAACTATCAAAAGAAGTGTCTTGTAGCCCCCCAAATAAATTATGAAAGACAACAGACTCATTAGCACAGCCTCATATATTTCTAGTGTATTAACCAGTATAAATAATGAAATGAGCTATTTCTTTTGTCTGAATAATAAGATAGGAAAAATTGATTAAAATGGTAATTTCTGTTTGCAGAGCCTGGATTAGTAATTCGACAAGGCTGTTAAATAGGGAAAAGTTCCCTGTTCTTTGTTTTCATTATTCTCCACATATTTTGAAATAAAGTATTTTTCCCTCCTCTGTTTTACTGGATACTCCCCAAGAAGCTTTACTGCATTCTGGCATCAATCTTGAAGGAAAAAACAGAAACAACCACCTGGGAATGTGCCTCCTGACTTTGCAGAGAACTGAGATGTAAATGAACACTTTTTTGAGACGCTACCAAAGGGAGAAGGCCGATATTTTGAGGCTGATCTGTGAAGGCTTGTGAAATGCCACAGGCTCCATTAACCTCATCGAGTCTTCTAATAGCTCTTTAATACCTTGAAGCTATACACGGCTTGATTTGGGCAGAGTCCAGGTTTTCTCAGGTTTGAGCTCATCTTTTTTTTTTTTTTAAATTCAGGTGGTGGAGGAACATCTGCATAATTTAGACATTATTCTTTTTCTGGTTTTGAAGTCTATTTGGGTTGACGCTAGGAAGATAGATCTGAAATTCCAGGGGCTCATCACATTTTCACGCTGATAGTGGGACTTAGTTTTTGATGCTGCTGGACCAGGGTCCATATGTATCGACCCTAATTTACGAACTTTGGCTTTGCCACTCCCTGCACTCCCCCAGCTCCCCACAGCTGGAAACCAGTCACCTCAGGTAACAGACAGCATAAATAGACGACCTACGTACTGCCCACCCCACTCTCACCATCACACCCTCCACCTGTCCCTTGAATGTAGTTTTCTTTTGTTGCTTATATTCATAGGGATAGATTACCTGTGTCTCACAGCTTTTGTGTTCCTGAGCCTTGAATGTCAGAAACCAAAGTGACAAAGCAACAGAAGGGGAAACCAATTCATTTTAAAGATATTTCAGAGATTCAACTTTTAAATCTGAGAAAACTTTTAAAGATGGAAAGTGATACTAGTTCCACATGCTAGGCTTTCACTGGTGACCACAAAGGTCCTTTCTGCAGTTAAAGCCTTGCCATGCCATCTATGCCGGTGGCTTGTATGTCCCCAGCACAACCTGGCCCCTCTTCCCTGCTGGTAGATTTCTGTGACCCCTGAAGTCTGTGACACTTGCACCTGCAAAGGGGAACGGGGTGGGGTGATACTGCAGGGCTCCCTCTGAGCTGCGGCCTTGGGGGTCCTCTTGAGAGGCGTGTGCTGTTTCAATTACAGGTGGTGGCTATTGACGTGGACATGGCCTTTTTTGAACCTAAAATGAGGGAAATTCTTGAGCAGAACTGCACGGGAGATGAAGACTGCAATTTCTTTGACTGTTTTTCAAAGTGTGATTTGCGAGTGCACAGGTGTGGAGCCCAGAGAACCAACAGCAACCTGCAGGTGAGCAATGCTGCTGTCCTCTCTGGGTGGGGGGGAACCTGTCCTCTCCGGAGGGGGGGACCCTGTCCTCTCTGCGGGGGGGACCCTGTCCTCTCTCAGGGGGGACCCTGTTCTCTCTGGGTGCCTCTGCCTGCCACACTGTGACATCCCGGTGATGTAGCTGAAGGTCATCACCCTTGCCATGTCACCTGGGCTCGATGTGTCCAGTAAGGGCAGGGATGGTGGGAGACGGGGATCATTTGTTCTTAGTCATCTACCCTGGAGGTTGTCGGCCAAGTGACCCCATGGGGTTAATGGATGGTGCTCCCAGCACAGCCTTTACTGGGTCCCCCAGAGCCATGGGGACTTGGGTAGCCCTTCTCTCTAGGTCTAATTTCTGCATCTACACACACACACACACACACACACCCAGAATGAGCACCCAGAGACTGATTCACCAAGGATAAATCTAGAAAAAGGGCAAAGCAGTCCTGAAAACTGGCCAAACCGGAGAGGGTGGGCGACACCACAGATCCGACAGGCAAGGGGTTAGGCCAGCAGGTGGTTAATAGAAGGAGAAAGTGCATGGGTCCCACATCCAGGAGACCAGTGACAAGTAGGAACCCATCCTGGCTTCCAGCTCTAGGATCCAGGCTAGAGTGAGGGAGACCCAGATGTGGGGCTGGAGAACCCTGCACTGGGAAGACATCTCCCCTCTTCCGGCAGAAGCTGTCTGCTCCCGGCCCTCACTCCAGGCCCTCAGGTGGGTGTGGATGAGCTGGGCTCACAGGTGTTGACCACAACCAGGAAGAGGTCATAGCAGGGAAGCTGGGCGCACCTCCACCACCGCTGATCTGTGCTCTAGCCTCAGCCCTCCTAGTGTTCCATTCTCCTAGCCAGTCCACTCCGCAGTCTCACCTCCACCGCAGTCTGTGTACAATCCTCCAGCCCATAAGGCCAATATAACCCCGGTGCACACCTGGTGATGGGGCCAGAGCCTGAGGCTGAGTCACGCCGGCACAGAGGACTGACCTGGGGAGACCTGGACAGCTGTGTAGTTAACCTGGCGGTCCTGGACCAGGCCGAACAAGGCCCTGACTCGGCAGCCTCTACAACGTAACGTGGACTCACACCCTCTGTGGGTCTGCAGCGCAATCGTTCTTCTCCAGATGTGGGAACAATATGCTTTCACTAGAGCATCAACCACCCTGTGCCCTCAAACCACAAAGTGGAAACACTAACACCTGCCCTCTGCAGCATAACTGGAGACTAGGGTTGTATCCTTAATATATAAACGGCTCTTACAGAGCCGTTAAGCGGGGAGAGGTACACACACACAAAACTGGCAAGAGAAGAACATATGACAGATACACGGGAGCTGAAGTGCAGACAGACAGAGAACCTGGAAAATATTTAATCTTACTATTCAAAGACATGCAAGTTAAAACCCAGCGATAATAATTTTTTACCTTTAACTATTGGGAATAGTTGTTAAAATGCTATTAATTAACAGGCGAGGCTCCAGAGAAATCAAGGTAAGAGTCTGTATTGTTAACGTGATTGTGAAATTCTACATCCCTCTGGAGGGTGCATGACTGTTGGAAATACTCTCTTTAGCTGAGCAATTTCATTTGTGCACCTTTTCTGATTCTTGCCTTTGAATAAAGACCTAGAAACGAAATTTCGCTTCCTTTAAGGATATGAGAAAACATGAAGCATTCATTAAGCGAAAAAATGCAGGTTACAAATCAGTATTTACCCATGATCTCATTTTCGTTAAGTAGTACGTGATTGGGAAAGAAGATATGAAAACGTCAAAAGCAATTACTTACGGATGATAGGATTACAGATAATTTTTACTTTCTTCCTTTTGCCCTATATTTTATAAATTTTCTACGGTGGTATGTATTACTTTTCTAACTTACACTTTTACTCAAAAAAAAAAAAAAATCCCTGCCCTGCATCAGTTGATTGACAGATCAAAGGAATAGTATTTTTAAAAATTGCATAAGTATACCTAATGACATATGGGTATTCAGTATGTTATAAAGGCAGCCTCTCAGGCCAGTGAGAGGGAAGCTGGGTTATACAGTGAGTGGTGCTGGTAAAGTGGGTATTCAGGAACAACAAATGATCACATTAACTTCTGGTCCACTCCTTATATCAAACTAAACTTCAGACGGCTCAAATACTTACACCTAAAAAATGGAATCCTGAATGTTCCAGAAAAAACTGGGAGAATTTAAAGTACTACCCTAGAGTTCGGAAGGCCTTTCTGAGTACAGAACAAAGTTCAGAGGCTATAAGAGGAACAACTGACACATTTAACCATTTTAAAAAAATCCACATGGCAAAAACAAAACAAAGTTACAAAAAATATGAGCAAATTTAAAGGTTAAATGAGAAAATTGGCAAAATATTTGCAACTCCTCTTACAGACGAGGAGCATAGAGGACAGAGACAGCCCTTATCTATCTGAGACTCAGAGCTGCTGAGACTCACGGCATCCCCCAGCATCGTCCTTGGCTCACGGTAACCCCACATCCCAGGGGCAGCATCTAGTGATTGGTCAGTGGGGAGGCGGGAAATGCAAAGCCCAGCCCCCTGGCCTCTATAAGGAAAACTCTGTAGGCCATTCCAGTACCAGAAGTTTTCCTCCTCCCTTAGTTCCATGGAAAGATGGTTCCTGAGAACGACCCTCAATAAATCCCTGCATGCAAACCTCCACCTTACAGTCTGCTCCCCAGGAAACCAATCTAAGCAGGGGGTTAATGTCCTTAATATATAAAGAGCATTTACATATCAATATGAAAAAAGTTAACAATCTGATGGAAATGTGGGCAAAGAACATCACCTTGACCACTCACTGGAAAGGAAGCACAGATACTTTCAACCTGACCGATAAGAAGAGCAATACAAATTAAACCATTTTCATTCATCAGTTAACAAAAAAGAAAGACGACACGTGTTGTTGAGGGCATTCTTGTCATACGCTGCTATGAGAGTGTAACTCGGTACAACTTTTATGGGGTCAATCTGGCAATATCTATCAAAACAAAAAATATGCATACCCCTTGGCCCAGAAATTTCATTTCCAGAAATTTAGTCATATGCAAAATGAAAAAGATATCTGCAAGTTAGGTACTGAAGCACTTTTCATAACAGCAAAAGTTAGTGAACAACCTAAATTTCCACCAATAGGGAACTAGCTAAATAATTTATGATATGCATTTGAGGTACAGCCATTAAAACAAATGGAATATCCTTATAAGGACTGATTTGGAAGGCTCTCCCTTATATTTTGTTAAATGGGAACGGAAGCTACAGAACAGTGTGTGCAATATACTCCCATCCATGTAAAGTAAAAGAAAAAGGAAATGCATGTATATTTATAGACTCTCCAGAAGGACATTCAAGGGAGTGGTTGCCTCTCAGAGCCAGGAGCCGAGTGTCTGGTTATGAGGAGTGGGAATGGAGACTTACAGCCTATCTTTTGGGACATTTTCCATGTTTGCCCCTGAAAATGTATTATCAACTCAAAAGAGAAATAAGATAATTTGTTTTTAAACAGAATCCTCAGTCTTGCAGAGGTTGGGAAACACAAGTCAAAATTATAGAAACAGTAGCTCTATAAAATTGAGGCATTTGTTAACTGAGTCTAATATAAAGTGTGACATAGGAAAATGGAGCAGAATATTAACTATGCAGCGCTCCATCCAACAGGGAAGAAACCATGACGGCTGTAAAACAGACAGTGTGTTTAAATGGAGAATTTAAAGAGATCTTCAGCCTCAGTGAACTTCATACCCAAGGAGAACTAAAGGCTGTGAGATAATGGCTTAATTTTTACTTCTCCTAAAATAAAACTCTCAAAGCCTCCTCAGAAAGAGTCTGCAGCCTTTCCCTTCCAAAATACCTTTTTTTCAGTGAGCCTCAAAGTACTATCACGTTTGCATACCCCTCGTCACCAGCGTGTCCTGGGGCCCTCAGGACAACCCTGCCAGGTGGCGATGACTGTCACTGTGACCAACCTATGGATAAGAAAGCGTGCCCTCAGGGGTGCGGTGATGGCGGGGCTGGCAGGCTTGGGCCTGCCCAGGGCCCACTCCTTATGCAGCAGCTCCCGCCTGTGACTTTCTGCTGCAGTGTCCTCAGTCCTTTCTGAGTGTCACCCGGAGCTTCCCCCTCGGCATTTCCACCACAGCCGGGGTGGCCTTTTCCCCGCTGGGCGGGTTAGGGTCCAGGAAGGGCCCTTCCAGGAGGCCCCCGGGCCTGAGCTGACCGCCCCCTCCCGCCCTCCCCCAGGTCGTCTGCGACAAGATCCTCCGCCACTGGTTCTCCTCGCCCCGCGGCAGCCCCGTCGTCTCGGCCCCGCTGCGGCGGCAGCTGCGGGCGGCGGTGCTCGAGTGCGCGGCCCCGGGGGCCCAGGGCGCGGCGCCCCGCGTGCTCGCGAAGCTGCGGCGCCTCCTCCAGGCCGCGCTGCGGGAGCTGCGAGAGGACGAGTAGCCGCGGCCCCCGCGCGGTGAAGGAGCGCGTCTGCGGCGCGGATAAGGGCCTCGGGGACGCTTACTGTGTGCGGAGGGGGCCGCCCGGCGCTGTTCGTCCCTCAGCCGCCTCCTCCCTCTGCTCTGCTTTGAGGAACCCTCTGGGCCTCGCCCGTCACCCCTTCGAAGTGACACAAGGGAGGGGGTCCCGGCGCCGGGTTCTCGGAAGGAGGCTCCGCTGTGCTGGAGCAAGAGCCCCGCCGGCGCCCTGCAGACGTCACCACGTCACAGAGCGCACCTGCGTGCGCGCACACGCGCATGCGCGAGGGTGAGTGCGCACGTGGCCGTGAAAGTTGCGCAGGTGTGTGGACGTGTGTGCACGCGTGTGTGAGCGGGTGAGGGTGTGGGCCCTGTGCGCCTCCGGGCGGGGAAGGTGCCTTCTCTGGCGTAACCACTGGCACCGCGGGCCTCGCTAGCAGAGAAGAGTCATCTTGCTTTTGGAATTGAAAACAATAAAAAACCCAAGTCTCATCTCTGGGAGCTGTAGTTTGTACTGGCAAGGGTGTGAAAGCACAGTTTACAGTGTTTTTCATTTTGAGGAATGAATGGATTTTATGGATTGTAACATCGCTTTTAGGGAGCACTTCATCTCTTATCACAGTACATCCTCCCCGGGAGCAGGGGTTGCAGGCTTGGTGAATTCAAGGCAGAGCCAGGGCCAGGTGGCCTGTGCTCAGTGCCTGTCTGTGACCCGGCGCCTCTCTGCCGCTCCAGTGAAGACCAGGCCGCAGGCCCCGTGTCACCTGTTGGCAGAATTGTTTCCAAGGCGTTCCCGATGCTGTGGCTCTGCTGCAAGAGAGCAAACGGGAGGAAACCGCATGCTGGTCACTCCCCGGGTCGGGCACGTGGAGCCGGCCAGAGGTCTGTCCACCTTGGGGGGACACAGCCCTAGTCCACATCTGGGGAGGGTGAGAGCTCAGCAAACCACCACAGGCCACCCTCAAGGTAAACCCAGAAAGACGCCAAGAGAGGATTAGGGATTCTGTTGATGGTTTACAAACAGGAGAAGACAAATTAATCTGAAGTTTTAAAATATCACAAATTGACAAATTCCAAGTATTTCTTTTTTCCTTGCCCAAACCCCCTTCTGATGCAGACAAAGAGCAATTGCCTGTGTATGCTGGTTCAGCTGCATCTCCACTTGCCCAGAGGAAGGACGTGTGGGGGGTGTAGTCTAAGGCCCCCCAGTTCTAACTCTGTGACTCCCCACACTCTGGTTGGAAGGACCCCTCCCCTCCCCCATCACCACTGGCATTTTCCACATGACTGAATTTCATCAATGGCCTCCTCTAAACAAATATATGAACGACCCACTCTGCCTAGCAGGCAGTAAAAATCCACGTCTGTCATTTTTGTGGCAGAAGTAAACTAAAACTAAAGTTTGAGCACAGGCCCTGGATTAGTAGATTCTAAAAGAAAAAGAATTGGCTGCGGTGTTCCCAGCGGAGGCGTGTTGCACCTGAGCTGTGCTATTCGAAGTTGTGTCTGCAGTGGTGAGGGTCTTAACGAGCCTCCGGGCCCTCGGGGCAGGTTCTCTTTCTGAGCCAAAGGTTCCCACAAAAACAGTGAGAAATAGACGGCCAGGGAGGGAGGCGCAGGGGCTTTGCGGTCTGTGCCCTCAAAACAGTCTCTTTTGCTTCGTGAGGGCACATGGGTCTCCTGTGGTTGCCCTGGGGTTACAGCCCTTCCCTGGCCTTTGAGCTAACCGCCCAGGCAGCGGAGGGAAAAGGTTCCTTTTCACTTCAGCCAGAATGGAAACAAATGTTTCTGTTTGTCATGGAGGCTGTGCAATATGTAATTACCCAACACAATAGTGTTTTTATTGTTGAAAATTGCAGTTATTCCTTCCCCTGCTGTCTGACCACCCATCTCACACACAAACACACACAGACACACACCACGCCCCTTTCCCATCCCACCTGGAGAATTCCCTCTATGGCAGTATCTCTTAGACTGGGGTGAAGTTCAGGTTTTGTTTTTTTTTCAATTTTCAAATACTTGCAAAATAATACTTTTATATAATACAATAAACAAACACTGTATCTGTATTTAATATTTTCAATGTGACAAGTGAGATTCTTTCTTGCTTATCTGATTAAACAACCACCATATTTGTAGGGGAAATGTCTCCCTAAATATTTCTATGTTTTGTTTTAATAACATGCATAGTAGACAAAACACACTCAGTACTGTGTGGACGGGACTCGAAGAGATTATAAAGTGAGCTCAGCAAGCACGGTTTATTCCTTTTAAAATTTTATCCAAATTAAAGCAAGTAAGTGCTTTCTTCATTTATAAACCCTCATCAGAAGTCAATTTTCACAATTTGTCTTAATAAATGACAGTTAAAATGATCGTTTGATGAAATGATTCCAGATTTTATGCCCTGTTGGATTACAGGTGACAAACCTTAACTGCACAGAAATTGTAGGCAGCTCAGGCCACATGCTATGACCGCATGATGCCTGAACTGTTCCACGAGGCGTGGACGATGTCAAGTGGCCACAAATGTTTCTAACCCTCCTCTCAGTTCTTATCTCCTCACAGGAAGTGAGTAGCAAGCAGTTCACAGATGTGCCACCTCCAAGAAGTCCTCTAGGCTTGCCTCCCATGGGTCTGCCCCCATGTTCGGCACCAGCCATCTGGGAACACCCAGGACAAACGCCTAGCATTTTAACTTAAATTATTGGAAGAGCAGCTATTTTAAAAACTTGATTTGGAAGCTGTTTTTTGAGCAGCTGGGGTGGGAGAGTTAGGCTGGAAATTTCTGAAACCAAGGAACATAAAGAAACTGTAACATTTACTGTGCTAGTAACTGCAGTGTAGGGGAAAAACGCCACTCTGGCTCTGTAACATACGTGATTTCTCCCACCTTTTGGGTCCTGAAATCTGTGTTGAAGACGTTGATTCTTGACTTTGGCCTCAATCTTACTCCTTGTGTTTTTCCAGTGGACTGTATTTCATTGCTCTTAAAGATCGCTGAAATGAAGCTTCATGAGAAATCCCATGGGAAAATGTTAAGAGCAGATACATTTGCTGGCCCCACTTTGAGTCCCTTGGTGGGGCACCTGATGGGTGAGGAGTTCCGGTTTTTCTTCCTGTCTTTGGGAGAAGTCTCCATGAGCCCCCTTCTCTCTGCTTCTTCCTCGTGGTGCTCTGGGTTCAGCCTTTCTCCCTTTCCTCTTCTAAAACTGCCAGCATCCCCTGTATTTCCCACGAGTCTATGGTATTTTGTTATAGCAGCCTGGGCTGACTAAGAGGACTGCCCTGCCCTGCACGCTGCCCTGGACGCTGTCCTTGACCCTCCCTGAGAGCGGTGGGCTCAGCAGTGCCGGGGTGCGTGGCAGAGAGCCTGCTAGGGTGTGAGCAGAGCAATGCCGGAGCTGCCAGGGTCTCCAACTCCTACTTACCTGTGAGTGCCCAAGGTGCCTCCTGGGCAGAGCTGCTGATACTGGCATTGGCCGTGAAGAAGGGAGCCAGCTGCTCCCCAGTTAGTCTGAGCCGGTGGGAGGGGTGCCTGCGGGAACAGTCTCTCCCTCACCTCCTAGGGCCCGCTTCCCAGTGCAGACAGCGCGGACGCCCAGCTAGCATCTGTGCCTCCGCGTGTTGGGAGGCTCTGACCCTGCGAAGGCCTCCGTGCGCAGCTGCTTTCCTGCAGTGTCCGTTTTCTCTCAGTGCCCTGAGCTTAATGCTTCAGAAAGACACTGTAGCCAGCGCTGTGTGCAGGGATCAGGGAGGTGCTTGTGGCACCTCGTGGTTAAGAAGCTAAACTGGGGTATTTGGGCTCACTTGGTTGCTTTGTCCTTTATTTTCCCCAATAGAAACCTGAGAGGAGGAATGGAATGCATTGTAGTTATGAAGCAAGAGTCAGGACAGATGGTCAGTTCTGATGTTCAAGATGTACTAACTTGAAAAGTACACAATTAAAGCATTTACCGAGCCGTTTTATGGAAAGGGATGTGCTTAATGGAAATCACAACTGCCTTGGCAACTGCAAGGTGATTGGTCAGCACATTTCTGGAGAACAAGGAAACAAAGCACATTTAGAGAACTTTCTGGAGAAAAGCACTGTGAGAAACACCCCACTCTTCATTTTTATGTTGTTCCAAAGCAGCTTGTCATCTGGATAGGTTTTCACAAGAGGAGTGAATTCTCTCTTAGCCGCTTGAAATTATTTTCTCTCTTTAGGCCCAGCTTTATTTTATTGCTGTGTGTCAGGATATACAAATTGACCTGGCATTTGAATGAAAGTAAGTACGTGCTTATTGGAAGGCTCCCGAACTTGGAGCCAGAAGCCTGGGGTTAAGGTTCTGGTTCTCATGCTAACTAGTTGTGTAACTTTAGGTGAGGCGATTACCTTCTGCCTCAATTTTCTCACCTGCAAAATGTGACATAAATGTTCTTCAGGAACTGAATGAGATAAAGTAGGTGAAAGAGTCTGTGAACGTGGCAGGGTAGATTCATGCACAGATGCAAATGTTTCCCTGTAAAAAATACCTGCATTTTCATCCATTTTCTGGCACATGCTGCTGAAGAGGGCTCCCCAAAGAGCAGGACACAGCAGAAGGGGGTGGAGGCCGGTGGGGTCTGCTGGATGTGGCCCTTTGTGGGGCTGGCTGGAGCAGAGCTGGGAAAAGGCATTCATTCCTTGATAGGCATAGAAAGCATCTCTACTTACCACTAGTTTTTAAACTCCCCAAAGTCAGTTTTTCTCTCATCTTTTCAGTTTGCAACTGAAAGAACTCTTTCTCTCCTGTCAAAAGTAAGGCCTGGCTCATAGAAGTCACGCTGAAAGTGTAGCTGGTTACGAGTATGATTCGATCACTATTACAACTTCTACAAAAGCCACTCGTACTGCAACTACGAAGGAGAACTGGCCCCAGACAATCCTGGAGGGAAGAATTCTACTTTGGACCCAGTCTGGCGCAAAGCAGGGTCTCAGTCACAAAATTCTGCTGACAGAGA